CTATAACTTGCTAATAATGTGATGCAAATAATGTGACTTATGATACCAGGGATATAGATTTACACAGTGGCGTAGGAAGGTTTTTAAATGTTTGAAATAACCAACTTATAAACGACAAGATTATTCCAAATTTTTTTACGGTCATATGTATGACGACAAGATTCTTTAAAAAAAAATTACTGTGATAGGAGAATGGGAACAAGAAACGCCAAAATCTATTAAGTTGTATGAGCTAAATCATATAAAGTTTGTAACCCCCTCAAATTGAGGGGGGTTTAAACTTTATATGGTCATAATTTTTGAATGCTAAAATATTTTACTATGAAATTTAAAATTTCTATATGAATTTAAGTCTAGTTGAAAATAATAGAAAACATATTTCATCAACTTGTTGCTCTCACGTTTGGGGCAGGGGGGCTAAGATTTTAGAGTTTCTTGTTCTCGTTCTCCTATCACAATAATTTTTTTTTAAAGAATCTTTTCGTCATACATATGACTGTAAAAAAATTTATTATTTAGACTGTAAAAAAATATGTTCTTGTTGTTTATAAGTTGGTTATTTCAAACATTAAAAAACATTCCTACGTCACTGGATATACATACTTTTCAACTGTTTTGTAGCAGTATTCTCTGGATAGTAAAGAATCAATTAGAAAGCTAGATGACAATGTACACAAAATAACATGTAACATCTTTATCATACTGACATCAAGTTAAAGAACTTGAGCAAATTTTTCTGCATTTTAAAAAAATCTTCTAACAGTGTTTCCATGATTTGACAACATTAGCATATCAATTACCAGTCCAACGGACATTAACATATCAATCATAATTATTATTACATATATCTAATATACATTAGCATATTAGTTACAAGTCCAACTTCATCACGAAAACTGATTTGAATTTTCATTATTCGTCCTTGGATAACTTTTTTTTCAAATGGTGTCTTTGTAGATTACTTTTTCACTATTAATTTATAATTAATTTTAAGACATTCCATACTTTGAATCCAAGCATGGAAAGTTAAAAGGCCAAAGCAGAGACCTATCTTTATCAATGACATATTTAGCTGCATTAAGATCATTCATTTTTATTGTATTGCATCTAAAAACTGAACAACACTGAGAAGATATAGTTGTTTTAGAAAATACTTTAGCAACTTTGAAATAAATAAACTAGCTTCTTCTAAAAGATTTTAGAAGAAGCTAGTTTAAAATAAAATAGGCTAGCGGTAATTGCCGGCAGTGCCGGCAAATAATTCTGAGATTAATTGCTGGCAGCACGTGTAAAGACGCAATTTGAATGTAATAAATAAAGTGATTTGGTTAGTTTGTTAGCTTTGTTGTTAGAAAAACAATTTAAATGATGTATTTATTTATTAATTATATATTTATTTATTTAATTTACTTTTATAACTTTTTTTACGCCAGAATTAAAATAACAAAGCAGTTTTTTTTTAATTATATACTGCCTGCACAAAACAAAACCCTCAGTCAATCTATGTACACTCTCCGAACAAAGGTATGCTCCGAAGAACTTTAAAGGGTTTTAATGGTTTAGGCTGACGGGGCACCCTAAAAGTTCTTATAAGAACCTTTTTTTAAGGTTCTTTACAAGAACCCTAAAAAAGAGTACTTGGTGGAACCTTAATCAATGGTTCTTCACTAAAACCTTAAATTGAGTTTTAGCAAAGAACTTATAGGAAGAACTTTTTTTTGAAATTCTAAGCATAATTTGAAATAAATTTTTAAAGATCGCTAAAAATGCGTCAAAAAACTATTTGGGAAAAAAAGATGTTTTCATAAAAAACCAATGAGTTACTACTATTAAAATATTTTGCAAAACTAATTAACACAATACATAAATAAGTCTACTATTAAATTTATAGCAAAAAAAATTTAGTTCATTTCATTAAAAGGTTTGTAACACAGCGTACAGGCATTGGTAAATCGTCGCTTTCACCTGACAAACCAATTAATGCATGTTGCACAAATTTCAGTGTGTTTGAAATTTTTGGATGATATTTCGCATTATACAGATAATGAACTCCGATCAAACATGCTAAAGCAAGAACGTTGTCTGTGCCGAAGTCATCGCGCATTACTTCGATATAGTCTAATACAATCGTTATTTTTGGAGATGAAGCCATATTTTCGTTTCCAAAGTCAAACACAATGGTTGGCGAATTTACTACCGGCATTTTACCCGCAACGAATAGATGGTCGCTGCAATCTCCTTTGAATAACCGCGGAAGCATGAAAACGGCAGTATTCATCATCATTTCTAAAAACACAACTTAAATTAAAAAAAAAAGCTGTGTATTATTTTTACTTATATAAAAAAATAAATGTTAAAAAAATACCTTATAATTTACATAGAGTATTTATTTACTTGAAGTAATTATTTTAATTATGTTTATATAACATGTAAAAAAATGACACTATTTTGTTATTTATCTAGGGCTAGTAAACACACAATGTCACAAGACGAATGCAAGTATTTAAGTTATTGTAATCTTAATATATGAATGTTGACAATGCATAATTTGGGTATATATGTTAGATTTAGTAAAAAAAAATTATAGTTTCAAATAAAACTAAACCTTTCTTTTTTACTTCATCTTGCTCGCCTTCTATTGTAGTAAGAATGCTTGAAAGCAACTGTTCTTTCTTTTTGCTAACAATATCCAATACTTTACTCGCAATGCGTGCTAAAGATACACGCAGCTCTCTATCCAAGTCTTTGTTGAATAAAATCTTGACTTCAGTCAAAATCTATAGTTTGAAAAAACTATTACAGTATTTGAAGATAGACATTTAACAAGCAATAACTTAAAAAAAAAATGTTTAAGCATACTATAAATCTAAAAACAACCTACAAATAGAAAGATTACAAGTATTATAATACTTGTAATCTTTCTATTTGTAGGTTGTTTTTAGATTTATAGTATGCTTAAACATTTTTTTTTTAACTATAGTTATTATTAATGCAGTCAGGCCGTCAGGCCGTCTCTGGGAGGGAAGCTGCACCGGGGATTGCCGCTTGGGGGCAGGGTTTTGGGGCATTACCAAAATGCTCACCAGGCAAATTTTTTTTGATAAATTTTTTTTATATGCCACTATTACTGGAGGAAATAGGCGCCATAACTAAGTTTGCGCTGCCCCTGAATGTAGATTTTAGTTCACGGTTCTAGACTTGTTTAGCTTTGATGTTACAGTTATATATATATATATATATATATATATATATATATATATATATATATATATATATATATATATATATATATATATAAAGTTACAGCAAAAGTAAAGTAAACATACTAGTTTTGGTAGACTCATCCAAGGATATGCTGCCATTATGTCAATGGTAGACTTATTTTGTATATCTTTTGTTCTATGCACGCAAGTTCTTTTTTGTCTATCTAACATTACTTCATAATTTGGACGTATCTTTGAAGATTCCTGCAGCATTTCATCTAGCAAAAGCATTGTACCAACCTCATCTACTAATTCATCCTCCATCAGTGGAAAGTACTATGGAGATTAAGCAATAATCAAGCAAATTACTTTTACTTAGAATATAAAACATAATTATTTATTACAATATTAACTACATAATCTATTTTACAAGGAATTACAATTTTATCTAAAACAAAAAAAAAAGATACAAATAAACAAAAATCAGGGTTATTTAATTTTTTCACAGAAAAATAAAATAAAAGATTGTGGGTATCTTGAAAATACAAATAAACAATACAATAGGTTGCAGTTAGTTAAAAGTTTCTTTTTTTAAAAACAATCTTATTCACTGCGTGCAACTTGCGGGTAAATAGGGGGCTTAATACAAATGTTTATGTTTCATAAAAAATAATACAAAATAAAGTAAAACTTTAAAATTGTAATTTAAAAATGTAAACTTTAAAATTTTTACATATATATTTTATTTACAGTAGAAAATTGGATAGCCTTTCAACACATTCATGCCCTTATACTTTACACTAAAATATACAACTTTAGTTGCTTTTAAATTTAATTTAATTTTTTTCTAGTTTGAGTGTCAAGTTATCTTATTACTTTTTTGAATAGGAAAGAAACAAAATACACGAAGCAAATAAATTCAAAATAAATATTCTAAAAAATCAAAAAAAAAAATTATGAAAAAAAAAAAGTAAAACTATGCAAATAAATTCATACTGTTACTTGAATTTGTCTCGGTGTTTTTTCATTTTCTTCTATTTCACTGTCTTCAAAACGTTTATGTTTTTTTCCATACCCTTTTTTGCCAAATTTTTTCTTTGCCAAAAGTACATCTTCATTGTTAATCAATGGCATTCGTTCTTTTTTAAATTTATTTTTTAAACTTTCTAGCAGTATCGACTAAATGCAATTTAAAATGTTACAGCAAAATAACAATGTGCAAAAAAACTACAATAAAACAAATTTAATTTTGACAAAACTATGCAATAATATGTAATACTATTATTCAATTTTTCAAGTCACCTAGCTGTACCTAAAAATAAATCAATTGTTAAATTCAATTTAGAATAAAAATTTTTAGGATCTTTAACAATTCAAGAAACTTACACTGGGCGAACCATTTTTTTTGCAACCTGGCATACTGTAATCACTTAAGTAACTATATTTGGCACATAAAGCACTGATTACCTCTAAATATTGCATGCTGTTTGGGTACCTAAATATTATAAACGAACAAAAAATATTATAAAGAAACAAAATTATAAGCAATTTAACACTGCCAAAAATTGTAATAAAATTATATCTCAAAACAACAAACTACACTAAGTAAAGTCAAACTTTACCAACAATAGTAAATACAAATATTTCTAAAGAAATAAAACAGTAATATTTAGAACATAATTTTCTCACCACGTGTATTTTGAGGTAATATCCTCAAATAATGACTGTATAAGTTGTGTACGTAGACATGTGCGTGCAGCACAAATTATTGTTTTATCCTCTTTGTTTAATGCATCTTGAACTTGTCTTGGAAATGATGGCAGAGGATACCTGATAGGCCAGTTACCAAAAGATGACGGCCTGTCATTATTGACAGCAACAACAACATCTCTGGCATCATTTTGATTGTTTACACCAGGAATTACAAGAAAATCTGATGTACTTGTAATTAGAGAAAATTGTATAACAAATAATTGTACACAATGTGCAAATATGATAGCACAAAAAAGGATTGAACCTATTTTTGATTAAATCATACATTAAGAATTTACATGCTTAAATTATAATACCTTGACTCTTTTAATTTAGCTATTGCTTTCAAAAGTTTTACTCTTAGTCTGAAGTCATCTTTGCATACTTCGCCTACCATTAATTCTGTAAATCCTTCTAGGGTTTCTCCGTCAATATTAGCAGCTATTAAAATCAAGTTTATTAGAAAATCAAACTGTATTTTATAATCCCATTTGTTAATAATTACAAAAACAATATACGTTGAGTAAAGACTAAATAATAATTAAAAAAATGAAAATCATTTCAAAAAACAAACATTTTTCCAAAACATATTTAATAATTTTTTATATAAGACAACTACTTAACTTAGAAACATTTATATTTTAAAGAGATATACATTTTTCCATCAGCTAAAATATATGAATTAAGTAACTGAGGGTCAATAATGTTACACGGTTGACAAACAGACAGTTCTATATCTTCTTTAACAGAATATGCATGCAAATGCACAGAAAACTGTTCACAAATAAGTACTTTCCCAATAAAAAACCAACTTTCTTTCAATTTATAAATGTACATAATCTTAAAAAAAAGAGGAATGTCTTCTCCATGCAGTGATCCAACCAACACAACATCATAAATCTTATACTTAACAGAGTCAATGGTAAGTTTATTGCACTTCCACAAAACCTCTGAATCACTGAAATTTGAAACTTCAAAAAAACAAATAATTTTGGAACGATGACATTCTGGGATATTATTAAAATAAATTGAACATTCTCCTGAACTCTCTGTGATTTCTTTCAAGAAGCTGGAAGCTTCGAACTCCCAGCATTGATGAAGTTGGTGACGCTTTGCTAAGATATAAGCTATATTTTTAAAATTTCTTACTGCACCTGCAAGTTTTTTAAAATATTGATGCTTTGCTTCGAAGCGCATGCACCACAAATAACGAAGGGGACCATAATCTGCAATTAAACGAGGATAATGCAACAAAAAATGCAATTTTGGTGTCAGCTTTCCTGGATATAATTCAACAAATGTTTGAACAAAAGATTCAACAAGCAGCTGCAAGTATGACAAAACAGTCCTGGATATTTTGTAACACATCAAATAATCCACAATATCACGTAATAATAGATACAGTTTCCAGTGCTTGTTGTTTATAGGAACTCGATCCCCAATCAAAAATGTTAAAAAATAAAAAAGACTAAATTTTTCAGATGCGCTGCCGACAATATTTCCAGTACCAGATGGTACTGTCAAAGGAATAACTATTGGTTTATTTTTTTTATCATTTTTTAGAAATTCAAAGTTTTCAATCTCATAATTAAGCTGAGAAACAGTTACAATTCCATCACAATGTAAATTAATTATTAACAACTTTAGGATCAAAGGAATAATTCCCTCATGTAAATCATGCATTAAATCTGGTGGAAATGATTCAGTTAACTTAAAATATGACAGGTCTAACAATGGACATCTTTTGACAACTCCATATACACGTCCACTTATCCCAGCATTGATACCTTGCAAATGATATTTGTGGAGGGTTTCAGTTCTTAATGCTAAAACAGTTTCTTGCAGTAGTTTTTCTTTATCTTCATACCGTAACATACAATAGCGACAAATGTGTCCAGAATTAAAAGCACATCTAAAACCAGCAAGTGCATGAGCTGACAAGTTATCGGCGGATATAGTTGCAAGTGCACCATACAATTGTAAACTCTCACCATCAATAGTTAGTGCAATGCCATTTAAACACAATTCATTCAAGTCTGATATTAAAGGTTTTAATAATTCTGCATATGTATTTGATTGTTTTATATATTTTTCTTTTATTAAAAGACACAGGTGTATATACTTTAATTGAGAGTGATACTTATATTCTAAATTACCTATAAAAAAATAAAAAGCACAAAGCTTATGTGTGGAGCGGTGTGATCCAATCGGATTACAAACCTCAAATTCGTCTATATACATATGAATACGTAATGCATGCTTATTCTTACAAAACACAACATGTTTGTGAAATATGTTACCATCTCTGTATGAGCATAGCAAATCACTAGATTGGTTCTTATTCTGATTTGCTCTATGAATAGAAGCCCAAACATCTTTATGTTGAACAAACTTTTTAATTACTTCTAGGATGGGAATATACTGAAAAAATTTCTTCTGATTATTTAAGTACCTGGTACTGTTAATAGTTTGTGATGTGTTTGTTTTAACCTGTGAAGAGATTTTAGCTATAATTTGTGCAATGTTGGTTAAACTATTTCTCTTATCATTTTTTATATCATTAATTATCTGTTTATCATAGTCGGCTTGTATTTCAATTTGCAATGGGGCAACAAAACCTAAATTTGCTTTACAGTAAGTCATAATTTTTGCTTCAGAACTAACAACTGAGAAGGCTTTGTCTAACAAAGCCTCACTTTTGAATAATTCTACAAGATCATGATGGGAATCAAGAATAAAACCAGCTTTACTCAAGTAGTTTTTAAGACAATCCCCATAATTAGAAGAGAAGTAGTTAATTAATGCATGAACTTCGTTACCAATTTCAAGCTGAACAATTGTTGGAATAGAATGTTTTTGCCCTAAACCAATCACAAACATTGCAAAATGTTTTTGCAGTTTAAAAACAAAATCATTAATATCTCTGTTTAATGGTTGATTGAGTGTTGAACTTGCTAGTTCATTGTCAAAATCACAATTTAATAATTCTAAGCCTTCATTAACAGATGAATGCAAACTTTCATCAACATTTGTCTTATTTCTGTCAGCATAATATATTTGATTGTGTTTTATTCGCATGTGTTGTCTTAAACCTTTTATTGTGTTGTATGCACAGGGACAACCATTAAGTCCACAAGCTACAGTGAAATTAGCTTCAGCTTCGTGACATATCTGAAGGTGAGTCAAATATTTATTCAAAATAAACTTTTCAACTTGACAAAAAGAGCAAATAAAACTTGAAATACTCGACATTCAACTAAACCTAAAAAAAAAAATAGAATAATTAATAATCACTAACCAACAAACTTTGGTTTCAAAACACTTAGGTCTATTGTATCCAAAAAGTTACAAGTTTCATCAACAGTCCACTTAAAGAATGGTATTGTAACATCATTAATAGCCATGAAAACCACTACAAATGAAAAAAACAAATTTTATAATGGATATTACTAAAGCCATTTATAAACAAAACTATAAATGAGTTTTATAATTATTGTTATCAATGTTATTATTATTATTATTATTATTATTATTGTTATTATTATTATTATTATTATTATTATTATTATTATTATATATATATATATATATATATATATATATATATATATATATATATATACATATATATATATATATATATATAAATTTTGTTAGGTAATTTAATAGATACCTAGTATAGTAACCTAATACCTATACTAAAGTATAGGTATATATGACCTACCCATAGGTCAGAAAAAGAGGTTATAACCTAATAAATCACATGAAGTTCACGCCATAGCATGATTCATAGCATGATTCATAAAAAGTTCATGCCATGAACTTTTTATGTCTATTAGGTTAGTCTATTAGGTAAATTTGATTATAATCAAATTTACCTAATAGACTATAATATAATCAAAAATACCTAACAAAATTTTTTTGAATTTTTTTTGAAAAAATCAAAAAAAAAAAAAAAACCAAAGAATTTTTTGATTTTTCAGTTTGCTGGCTACCCTATGTCACAGGCTATGAGATTTATAATCAACTCCTCTGCACATACATTCAAAAAGGGATTGAAAAAATAATCATTTAAAAATACTTACAAGTGCCGAAAAAAAAAACGAACTACAGGAATAAGAACACGTGAGCTTCTCAAAGAACCGTTTAGCAATTTTAGTGTCAAGTAAATTGTTTATAAAACTTTAGTCCAAAACTCGAAGGTTCTTTGAAAAACCGTTAAGCATCTTAAGAACCCAAAGGTGCTTTCAAGAACCGCAAAGCAGCATTAAGAACCCGTAAGTTCTTTGAAGAACCGGTAATCAAAGTTTAGAACCGAAAAGTTCTTTAAGGAACCGATAAGAACCCTTACTTTTTACAGTGTACACTCTATACTTGCATTAAATCTATGAGTATAAAATTATATAGTAATATTAAAAAATGGTTACAAAGTGTAACCATTTTTTAATATTAACCGAGTCTTAAAAAAATAAAATTAAAAAGATGATATAGTTGCTCTGCAGATCCAAAACTAAACTATTTTTAAAAGTATGTAATATTTTTAAAAGGATTTATTGTTTAGAAATTGAAATAACACTTTTAAAAAATGGTAATTTAGATGTAACGTGTTTACTTTGTACTAATGAAATTGAAAATTGAATGCAAATCATCTGTTTATCAATATTTACATTACAAATACTCACAAAGAAGTGTCTTTGTTTTATCAGATTATATTTGTTTTAATACACTATTGTTTGATCCAAATATACTTCACATCCCAGCAAGCACAATCAACGTTAAAACAACGTTGAAAAATCGTTGAAATTTATGTTGAAAAATGGTTGAAATGGAAACACAAATCAACGTTGAAAATAAACCAAAAATCAACGATAGATTAACGTTGATCTATCATTGATTCAGCTAACTTATGTACGAGTTTATAAACCTCAAAAATACAATTTTTTGCGCCGTGACTCTTTTAATCTAAAAAAGCATTTATTTTTTGTACAATATTGTGTTGTTATGAGTAAGAAAAGAAACAGTATTCTTCATAAACTTATAATAGCTGTACAATGACTTATTCTATTGTACTGCAAATTTTGTTCTCAATTTCTACAGCTTTCTCTTATTATTATTAGTAGTTTTATTAGTTTATTTTATATTATAATACTAACTGTTGCTATAGTATTACAAATACTTTACCCTGTATCATTTTTTTAACGCAGGTAAATAAATTATAAAATTGAAAGGCAATTATTGAAAGCAAATGAAACCAAAAAAGTAGTTTATACATTTTTAGAACAATAACTTATACAAAATTAAAGTTATTTTTAAAACGATCTTGATAAAATCATGATATCGTTATCTTCATCACCAATATCAAATATCTTGATAAAATCATGATATCGTTATCTTCATCACCAATATCAAATTCTTATGTATTTTTATCGCCTTCTGTTATCAGACTCATTTTGATTTGATGCATTTTCCACGATCCAATCAATATGGTGCAACCTTCAAACGGTCTAAATTCTATCTTTGTGCATTTTGTATTTTTATTTAAGAACATCAAGTAACTAAATAAAAATATCTTTAAAGTAAGGTACATTTGTACATTTTACAAGTATTATTTTACTTCACATTGTTCACATGCGAATGTGAACATTAAACGATTAGATTTAGATTTATTTCGCCGTTTAAAAATAGTTACAATAACCAGATAATATAGTTACAATTATATGTATATATGTATAATTACAATAACCATAAGAGAATATATATTTGCATTTACATTTGGCAGCAACAAATATCAAATTCATATGTATTTTTAAATGATCAATAGTAGAAGAAAAAACAACCCATTACTGATCCGTGCCTAATTTACTTCATTATTGACCAAGATATCAACCTATTTGGATAATTATTCATTATACACCAACATCATACATCAACGCAAATACACACACATAACACAAACCTTTTAGACAGTTATACATCGCTAAGTCAAACATTCGGATAATTTTTTAACAAATGATATTATATTATGCAGCTTCGCATTTTTTAATAAAAATTATTTAATGTATAAACTTTTGAAACTATTTTCTTTTTTTACTATCTGAGTCCAATCGGTGCTTATTAGAAAGTTTCAAATTATCATCATATTTTGCGTCTTATTTTCTATTAAAACTTTTCACTTAAACAAAGAGTGATAAGATAAATTGCGAGATTTTGTCACGTCACCGTTTAATTGTTTGCCATGACCAAAAATCATAAGATCAGCTGTTGGTCCACTCTAAGTTTTTTTGATTTACATAAACGATTTTTGTAATGCATCCTTAAAACTTATTGAGTCTAAAATTACCAAATTTGTTGGTATGATGTATAGATTTCGTTTATAAATATACGTAAATAAATAAAGTCTTAAACTAATATTTTTAGGCTGATTCATTACATCAAGCTATGTGAATATATCTATGGCAAGAACACAACTATCAAAGTTATAAAAATGTGAAGCTTACAAAAACATGCTTGCAGAGTCTATTAATCGATTTGCTTATCAGGGTTTTATACTGTCTACTTTTTTCTACGAATATATATATATATATATATATATATATATATATATATATATATATATAAATATATATATATATATATATACATATATGTATATATATATGCATATATATATATATATATGCATATATATATATATATATATATATATATATATATATATATATATATATGCATATATATATGTATATATATATGCATATATATATGCATATATATATGTATACGTATATATATATATATATATATATATATATATATATATATATATATATATATATGTGTGTATATATGTGTATATATATATGTGTATATGTATATATATATATATGTATATATATATGTAAGTATATATATATATATATATATATATATATATATATATATATATATATATATATGTATATATATGTATATATATATATATATATATATATATATATATATATATATATATATATATGTATATATGTATGTATATATTTGTATGTGTGTATGTGTATGTGTATGCGTATATGTGTGTATGCGCGCGCGCATATGTATATGCGCCGACAAAGTTGTGATTGGAGTTCGTTTAACATGAACTCTTCCTCAATTTTCTTTATCGCCCCAGAGACTTAAGAAAACTAACCTTTGATATAAAAATTAGCTTCTAAATTGCTTGCGGGTTTGTTTTTTATTAAAAAGTAAACTTCATCAGTGGCGTCATTATGGTTAGTGTCACCCAGTGCGGTGAACTCAGGGTGTCCCCCCTCTAGACTTTCACTATGGATCTCTTCAGAGTTTCCCTGTACTAGACCATATACATAATCCAATTTTAACAATTGCTTAATGCTCTTATGGTAATCTTTAGAATAAGTGCAGAAGTTACTATGGACATAAGAAAAAAATTACACAGTTTAAGTAAGTCACCACTTTGTCAAGAGTTAAGCCTTTAGTCTGCAGATGCTGCTGATTAACTTCCTCAAGTACAGTAACCCAAAAGTAAAGGTAGCAGAGAAACGTGAAATTGCAGACAGCAGGTAAAAAATCTTGTGCTGTACCTCTTGTGTCCACAACTTCACGAGGATCACATAGAGCTTCAATCGCCGCCACACATTTATCAAGCTTAACTTTCACCGGTTGAACAGAGGAATGATGTGCACCCCAGCGTGTTGCTGATAGCCTTTAACTTAAATAAAAAACTAGTTTTTTTTTATAAAATTTATCTTATCTTATATATGAAGAAAACGTCCGTTTTTTCTGTTTTTATTTTATTTATTTCGTTTAGAATTTAAATAAAAAGTTTACCTTTTAACTTTTTATTCAGAATTTAAATAAAACTATCGTTTATCCGGTGTTATTTTAATTATTTAATTCAGAATTTAGATAAACGTTTGATTTTCCTTAATTTTAATTTAGTTATGCCAAATAAAATGTTTCTTTTTTGGATTTTATTATAAGTCATTTAAAACTTAATAGAAATGAACTTTTTGCCGTTTTTACTTAATTACAAAACAAATTTTAGACATTCGTCTATAATTCTATTATTGGTTTGTGAATCGTGATTAGAATCAGGAGGAAAGGTAACTTGATCAGTGACGCCTCACTTCTGAACTCTATTGTTGCCTTTGTAAATAACTTAAGATTTTGTTCCGAGGCTCCGAACAGCTATGAATAACTGAACCTAATTCATTTAGGCAACAGACGCTCTGGGGTCTCTGCTTGGTGAATGGTGGCACCATGTGCCTTTTCGTTTATATTTATTATTTTTATTTCGTCTTTTAAATAAACTTTACAATGTTTTTACAACATAACAATATAAAATTTTACAACATAACAATATAAAAGTTTTGAAAAATTCCGACTGGAGCTGGCAGAAGACATGGTCTTATCATCCAGCCCCGTCGTTACAAATTTAGATATAATTTTGTGTATTATACACATGCATGAACTTTTTTTTTCATTTTTATTTTTTTATTTTTATTTTTTTTATTTTTATTTTTTTTTTATTTTATTATTATTATTATTTTTTTATTATTATTTTTATTATTATTATTATTATTTTTTTACGTCAATATAATAACATAACTTAGAAATCCATACATATTAAAAAAAATACATATTGAAAATACTTATAAAAAAAAATAAAATTAAAACGTATTGCGTCAATATATAAGATATTAAGTAACTAAGATTATAATAAAGGTTTTAAAAGTAAATTTGTAATTGATTATAACCAAATCTAAATATGTGTTGTTTCGTTTCACGTTTAAAATGTAGAGTAGAAGTTATAGTCTTTATATTACTTGTTAGAATCGAGTTCCACAATCGCGGCCTTCGGCTAGATATTGAGAAGTCAGCTTGTTTTAATAAAGTTTTTGGAATAACAAAGTTGTTAGTTAATTACTTAGTTTGGTATTTGTGGTTTATAGAAATAAATTGATATTGGGAAGTGTTTGGTAGTAGTAGATGTTTAACTTAAACATAAAAAGTAGTATGTTAAGAGTATTTACTTCGAAGACATTAAACACTCCAAGTTCTCTTAATAGAGGTTTGGTACTGGTGTACCTCTCTGTGTTTAATTTTCGATATGTACTCGCCCAGATTTTGTTACAGTAATTGATGGAGCTATGAATAAAAGAGAAATAAGTATTTTTTAAACAAGTTGTATTAAGAAGTTGCTTTGACTTATGCATAATTCCGATAATTTTAGATATTTTCTTTTCCACTTTTTTGATATGAATACTCCAGCTAACTCTTTCATTAAGAATAGCACCTAAAAAGTTGATTGAGTATTCTCTTTTAAGTTTAGTTTTGTTGATAAGCAGTTGAGGAAGTTTTAAGGGGAGGGTGTCTGAACCAGAAGATTTTGTGAAAAGAATATATTTGCTTTTTTCTACGTTTAGCGAGAGTTTGTTGGCCTTAAACCATTCGTTTAGATTTTCTAGCTCTTGATTAACCGTATTAAACATAAAGTTAATGTTTTTGTGGCTAAAAGATACTTGCGTATTGTCAGCAAAGAGAACAAAGTTGAGTTTAAAGAAAAATAAGAAGATAACATTAATATAAACAAGGAGTAGCAATGGCCCTAGAATTGATCCTTGCGGGACCCCACAGGTAATACTTTTAAGTTGTGTAACAGTATTGTTATACGTTAATGCTTGTTTTCGATTATGAAGATAGGAGCAAAACCATTTTAAATTGTTGTTTTTTATTCCATAACTTTCTAATTTATACAGAATAACCTCATGGCCAACAGTGTCAAATGCTTTTGAAAGATCAAGGAATACCCCTAGAGTGTATTTATTTTTATCGAATCCATTTAAAATTTCATTTAGAAGTTTGACTACAGCCTGTTCTGTTAAGAGTCGTTTTTGAAATTTATTGATTATTATTTAAAAAGTGATGATTAACTAGAAAGTTTATGGTCTATTGTGCATTATGCGCTCTAATATTTTTGAAAAACAAGATAAAATAGAAATGAGTCAATATTTAGAAGCCATAGAATCGTCTCCGCTTTTAAATACAGGCACAAATTTAGCCATCTTAAGCTGTTCAGGAAATATCCCTTGATTTAAAGACATGTTGTAAATATGCAGAAGGGGATGTTCAATAATATCGTAGACACTTTTTACGACATTTGCGGTGATGCCGTCGAGCTCTGAAAGCTCTATAAAAATGAACGGTTATGAAACCCAACAGTTCTGGCTAAACCGGGTTGAGCTCGGCAAACTCTACTGTCTGAGACAGAGCTAGGGGTGACACCAAAATGAAAATTTTCAAATCGTGACTACTGACTAACAACAACTTGTTTCCTTTCACAAAAATTGATTTTTTTTTTCATTTTGGTGTCACCCCCTCTGTATCAAGCTGTGATGGTGTCACCTGGTGCGGCCCGCAACTCCACCCCCTCCCTCCCCCTAGTGACGCACTGATTTTTATTCATTAATAAATATTTTTATATTTAAAATCGGCTAATATTGCTTATTATTTTTTTGGGTTTGCTATTCTTTTTTTTCAAAAATATCTCTACTTTTTTATAAATAAAGTTTTTCATTTTTAAAATTGGCTAAGATTGCTTGTTGGTTTGTATTTTTTGTTAAATGTTTCAAAAAAACTTAAAAAATTTTTTTTTTTTTTGTTTAATATTAATATATCGGAACTTTTTGTAAACACTAAAAAGTAGAAAATAAAATAGCAAAAACATTTGCTCAAAAATATAATCTTTTTCGTACTATAAAGTAGAAAATAAACTTTTTTTAAAAAAATTTAATAGTTTAGTAAACTAAAGATTGTATGTTTCTATATAAACCTTGTGCAGATCTGTCAATCTTTAGTTTACTGAACTATTAAATTTAAATTAAAAAGTTTATTTTCTACTTTTTAGTATTAAAAAGAATATAGCTTTGAGCAAATGTTTTTGCTATTTTATTTCGCATACATTCGTTTTGTTATATTTTCCGCTTAAAATTGATTTCGGTAATAGTTACATAATTTTCCTCGCGCAAGAAGTGTGCGCGAGAGAACCCCCTTTCCTACTATCTGTCAAATGGATTTTATTTTGACCTTAATTGTTTGTTGACTAGAATTGAAAGTTGGATAATAGCAATAAATCATGCAGCTGATTTAGTATAAATGAAAAATCTTTAAAAAAACGTGAATATTTTGCTTAAAAAAATCATTCAATAATTATGTTTTTAATTCGCAATTGTGACTACCATCTAAAATGGCGATTATCAGGCGTATTCAAACAATACTTCGTTTTAAACATGGAGTTTGCTTCCTTAACACAAACGTAAAGTCGAGAACCCCCCTAATAGCTTTTCCAAAAAGACCAGTTATTGGAAACAAAGGCATGATTTTTTTTAAAGTTTTTTTTTTAACAGAACTTCATTGTCAGTAAAAGACAAAAACAGAATAAGATATTTTTTAAATAACTTTTCTTTCTTGCTTATTTGCTTGTTTTTTATGAAATCCAAAAAGATGTTTGCGCGCATGTTCTATTTCTTACCATTTAGTTGCCAATAATTTATGTTTTTTTTAGCTTCTTTTTTGCTTTTTTTTTTTTTTTCATTAAAAACTATTTTTTTGTTAACATTGTTTGAAAGATCGATTTTTGTTTTATTTTTATTCTTATTAATTAACTTTTTTTTGTGTTGAAACTGTTTGAAAAATGATGAAACTAACAACTTAAAAAATAAAAAAGTCAATTTTAATTATATGTTTTTTAAAAATGTAAACAGAAAAGTCTTAGATCTAAGAAAGATATTATTAAAGATTTTCGTTTTAAAAAAGTAAAATAAAATAAAATAATTTGAAAAATATTTCTTGCAAATACACAAATATAATGTAATGAATATAATAATATTATTTAATAATATTGTTATTATTGTTCTTGTTATTATTATTGTTATTTTTATTATTATTATTATTATTATTATTAAAATAATTATAGCAACATTAGCAACGAAAGTACCCAGTAAACACAAGACATGTTAAACATGTCTAAATTTGTATAAATATATTTTAATATTTTTTTAAGATGTCTTGTGTTAACTGGACAATAACAGTTATAATGATAAAAAATGCTGTTACAAAAATAAAATTTCTCCAAACTTAAATGTCTTTAAACTATTTAAAGTTCAAAAAAAAATTAAAAATTAACTTTAATAAAACATAATATTTAGACATAATGCTTTTTTGTTGAATATATATTTAGTAACGTCTGTAGTAATTCTATAGAATCAAGCTTTTTTAAAGAGTTATAAGAGTATAAAGGATTTATAGAAAGTAAGGATATATAGAGTTTCATAAATCTAAAATATATGAAAAAGACAGAATAAAATATTATTACTAATTTTTTTTGTTTGTTTGTTTGTTGAAAATTGTTATTTTTATACAATAAAATCTGAAATAATAATTTTTATTAAATGATGATTATTTTTAAAACTTTTTTATAATTTTTCTTCAATTAAGAGCCAAAAGAACTTTTGCAAAACTTTTTTCTATAATATTAGAGACCTATTTAATGTTTGAATCTGTAGCAACTCCTACAAATCTTTTCAAAGCTAATATTATTATATAGAACACATAAAATGGAGATATTTTTCAAAAATATTTTTCGAATCGCCTAAATATAGAGAGTTTATTTAAAGATATACAGAGAATTACACAAAATATATACAGAGAAGGATCTATAGAGATCTAGAGAGTTTATATTTGATCTGTTCATATCTAGTTCCAGTTTAAAACTAAGAAAGTTTACTTCTTTTTCTTCATTTTGTTCATGTTCATGAAAATACTTTTTAACTTTAGATTCACACAAAAACAATTCTATTAACCTTGAAGCATCTGGTTTGAGTCCTCCAAATTTATTATTTTCAAAAAAATCTACAGAAAAAGTATTTTCTGCAGGACATCCAACTTCTGTGCAAACAATTTATAAGTCAGATGGGTCATTAATTTTAATTACCGAGTCTTTGCCACTAAAATACAAAAGACCATTAATCAGCAATGAAGAAATAGAGTACATAATGGTATGAGTTGTTTATTAGAGTTGTTTTTTTATGTTGTCTATTTTATCCAAAGAAATAAGTATTTGCTTATTTCTTTTTTAATTTATATATGTATGCGTGTGTGTATGTGTGTGAGTTTGTATGTGTATGTATGTATGTATGTATGTATGTATGTATGTATGTATGTATGTATGTATGTATGTATGTATGTATGTATATATATATATATATATGTATATATATATATATATATATATATATATATATATATATATATATATATATATATATATATATATATATATATATATATATATATATATATATATATATATATATATATATATATATATATATATATTAAAGCTCTGCAATCTGATTCAATTTGTGAATTAAATGTTGCTTTGATTTGAGTTTCGATTTGCAAAAAATTTGAGTTTTTTGAATCATATCAAAATATAATATTATTCCAAACAACTGCTAAAAAATTATTAACCAAAGGCATCAATATCACTTTGCAAAAATTGCAAAGTGATATTGATGCTCTTGTTATATAGTCTAAAAAATGAGGAATGAAATTTAACACTAAATTTGTACTAAACTTAGGACACAACAAATCCCATACTTACACTATGTAGGATTCAGATCAAAACAAAAGAATCAGCATTAAGTCCACAATTTTTAAACAGGATTTAGGTGTTCACATAAACTCGAGTTCATTATTTTCAAAACTCATAACTATTAAGTCAACAAAGCAATACTGATGGTGTTGGGTCTGATAAAAAGATCATTTTCATCTTATCCAAATCTATACTCATTTAAAAAATTATTCTCAAATGTAATCTGGCCTCATTTAGAATATTGTGGATCAATTTCTACCCTGCAGCTTCTCAAAAACAAACCTCAAATGAAAAATGTTTTAAGAAGATCTTATTATCTTACAAGTTAAGGGTTTAAACAATCTTCCCTTTGAGCCAAAACTATTGGTGCTAAATATGACAAGTTTAAGTATACATAAAGAGTTGTTCTAGAAAAAAAGTTAATAAAAATCTCTAAATGAAGGTTAAAGAACCATCACTAAAAAAATTTAATATGTTTCTCGACAACTATCTGATGGCTTCTCTATGACTGAGATGCATTTATTTTTATATTAGATTATATAAAAACTGACATTGTTAAATTTTTATATAACCAGGTCGGCAGGCATTATATGCCTATAAATTTTTTTTGTACACCTTTAAATTAAAAAAAATATTGAGCTAGTAATAGCTAATAGCTAGTTATAAATTAATTATAAAAAATTATTGGAAAATGGATTTGAATATTGATAAATGTATAAATGTAAAATAATATATATATATATATATATATATATATATATATATATATATATATATATATATATATATATATATATATATATATATATACCCATATAGTGTAGTCGAAAGAGCGTTTTAATGTAAAAAAAGTCTCTTACGACTACAATTTTAATTACCTTGTCTCTTAAGCTGTTTTTGATTGTCATCGAAATGTCAAAGCAATTAATTTATGCGGAAGTACATTAAATTTAATTGTTTTTTAAAAATTTTTTAAAAAACCGCAATTATAACGACTAGAAAGTTTTTTTTAATTAGTGGTGTTTTTGTTATTGATTTAATAAAAAACATTTTTAAAACATGCGTAAATGTTGCTACATCGACTATCTTATAGCCTGACTCGCAATGGAGTGCTGCTACATCGACTGACAAATAGCCTGACTCGCAAGAGAGTGCTGCTACAACGACTGACACATAGCCTGACTCGCAAGAGAGTGTTGCTATATCAACTGAGGGTTTGGTTTGGCCAGGCAGTCTATCAATTAAAAAAAAAATTTAATTTTTAAAACTTTTTCTGGTCTGGTTTATTAACGCGCTCTTTAAAACTACAGTTTATGGGAAACTTTTTTTGATGCCATGCAAGAGACATGCAAGAGTATATATATATATATATATATATATATATATATATATATATATATATATATATATATATATATATATATATATATATATATATATATATATATATATATATGTATATGTATATATATATATATATATATATATATATATATATATATATATATATATATATATATATATATATATATATATATATATATATATATATATATATATATATATATATATATATAGTCGTATGACAATTTATTATGGCCACCTACATTTTTTCTAGAAACTCTAGAAAAATTGTGATTTTCCATCAGTTTTTACAATTTTATCTACCAAAGACGTATTCTAATAAAAAATCAGATTGTGTGTTAATAAAAAATTACCATTTTATAAGAATAAATACACTTTAATAAAAAATATTCATATAATATCTTAGTTACAATCAATATTTTGTAACCCCCCCCCCCTTTTGCATTGATTACTGCCTGTACCCTTTTAGGCATGCTTTTTATGCAGTTTTCTGCCATTTCCTTCAATCTTGCATTGTGGTTCCAATGTTTTATAATACTTTCTATTAGAACCACCTTGTTTGTAATATTTTCCTTGGCCACCTCCTTTTTTAATAGCTTCCAAACATTCTCTATAGGATTGAGATCCGGCAAATTTCCCGGCCAGTCCAACAAAGGAATATTTTTATCTTTCAAAAAGATTTTGATAGACCTAGCCGTATGGCATGGTGCTCCATCTTGCATTAATGTTTTGTTTTCCTCTGGACCAAACCATTCCGTCAATTGGGGTAACAATCTTTGTTCCAGGACATTTTTATACTGCACCTGGTTCATTATCCCTTGAACAATGTACAGCCTTCCCATTCCTTTCCCACAAATAACCGACCAAATCATCACTGAGGTTGGATTTTTGATGGTTTAAATAATACAGCTAATTAAATATTTCTCTCCAACCTTCCTTTTCACGTATTGTGCTTTTTTTGATAAGACTTGGAACGCGCTCTCATCACTAAAGCAAACCTAAAAATATTATACGATGGTTCATTGACCACAATGCATGGATTATCTAAAAAATTTAAAGTATTATTTAATAAAATAATCTGTTATACCGTTTTCCAATCGTCTTCAGTCCAATTTCTATATTTTTTTGCCCATTCTAATCGCTCCATCATTTTTGACGTTAATTTTGGTTTTTTAGCCGGACGTCTTGAGCTGTAGCCAAGATCGTGTAGACGACACTGAACCGTTCTCTTGGACATCTTAATACCAGAGCTCTCCAACTTCTCAGTGATATCATCATTTGATGCTAGCCTATCTTCCAATACTATTTTGGTAAGAATTCTTTCACCTCGTGGAGTAAGAATTCTTTTTTTACCACAGTTCCCAGTCCTTTTTGGAGTTAGGTTTTCCATGTTGACAATTTTTTTTTGGATATTCTGCACTGACACTCTAGAAACATTACATCTTCTGGCGATTCCTTTTTGGGAAAAACCAGTATTTGTAAGAAGTACTTGTATTTCACTTTTTTTTTCTAGAGATAAGTCCTTTTTTTTGCCCATTTCTAAAAAAATAACCAATTTTAGTACGAAAATTTCTATTATTACTTAAAATAATTTTAATCACAAAATACTGAGTGAAATAAAAATATTTTTATGTTAATTTATGTAATGTAATATTCTTAAAGTAATATTAGTCGATTTGAGTACTTACTTTAATGATAACTTTGAAAAATATACCAAAACTAACAGAGAGTATTTACCACGTGCACTGTAAGAATAGCGGTCTCAAGATGGCGTCACACAAAATGGCTGTCAAAAATGACAGTGTTTACACCAGCATAAAATTTTAAATAATTTTGTCAACGTATAACTATATTGTATGCATCCAAATAAATTAAATTATATAATTTTGAACTATAATGCCAAGAAAACAAAAGATAAGCAAGGTATGTTAAAATTTATTGGGTGGCCGTAATAAATTGTCATACGACTGTATATATATATATATATATATATATATATATATGCAAAGCAGTTACAAAAACTGGAATAAGTGCAAACTGGCATAAGTACGAATTTGCATAAGTGTGAAATACTAATTTGCTTTAATGCCAATATTTGCAATTTTATTTGGTGCACTTTTTTTTGCAACTTTTTTGAACCATTTTTTGTAACTGCTTCGCACTTATACCAGTTCTCACTTATACCAATTCACACTTTTGCCAATATTTGCAAAATCTTTTGGTTCACTTATGCCAATTCGCAGTTATACCATTTTTTGTAATGCTTTACACGTATGCCATTTCGCACATATGCCAATTGGCGCTTTTTCAGCCTCCCTTAGAATTAGGGTCCACATTCAGCAATGTCGACCTAACTGCCGACCTAAAAGTGTTTTATTTTAGCAAAAAATTGCCGACCTTGTTTCTATATTTTATGGTCAGACCTTTGTATCAAATAATTTTTGCAGACCTGATGCCGACCTCAAAAAGATTGGGGTTGACAAATTATTGCCGACCTCATTTTTCCTAATTCCAAGGGTTGTATATATATATATATATATATATATATATATATATATATATATATATATATATATATATATATATATATATATATATATATATATATATATATAATTGATAATGATTACATACTTAAAAAACCTCAATATACTCAAAAAATTTGAAAAGGTTGATACTTGAAGTTAACTACCAATCATAGAATTGACAATGAGAATCTTTGATACCAAATTTGACAATGCTGACCGAAAGGAGAAAACATATTGGTTTAATTCAGTTTTTTCATCAAACTGAAGACAATTCATGGTGCCATTTATGGTTTATTTCAATTTTTCATCAAATTGAAGACAATTAGTTTATCTAATCTTGTTGCATCATTATTCTTGTCATTACAAGAAAGAATCAATTCACACAAAGATTATGCATACAGCAGGTGAAATGCCAGAGTTGTGAACATTTCTTCACAAATCAAATTGTAACCCATGAAATATATTACCATTTAAACATCAAAGTACCAACAGTTAACAATTTTAACAGCATAATTAAAAATCAAAGATCAAATATTATTTCTAAGTCATTTCTTAACTAAAATTTGGCAAACATGATTTTTAATTTAGTTAAATAGTCAAATTGAGCAGACATTTGAAGAATGGTGTCTTTAGAAGAACAAAGTGCAAGCAACACTGATCTTTTTGATGTCGCTCACGCCAATGCTATTGCTGCTAAGAAGAAAAAGATTTCAGAAAAAGAGAAATAAATGCAGATCAAATTAAACAGGGATTATCTTCTTCCGAATATTTCTGGAATTCCGGATATTTTTTTCAACGATTAGTTTTTCCCGGATATTCAAAACATTTTTAATACATGCAAGTTGAGGTATATATTTTTGTAATATATTTGTTTTTTAAGCTTTTTCATTCATCAATAATAGAAAAGTTATGAAAATGTGTCAAAAAAAAACTAAACCAATTTAGCTAAAAGCGAAATTAAAAACAAAATAAGGGAAAACAAATTCCGGATTTTTTCCGGATATTTTATTCAAACAATTTACCGGATTTTTAAAATATGACTAGGATGATCTATGATTAAAACAAATTAAAATTAAAACTGTTACTCAGACCTGGCTGAAGTAATGCTTCCAGGAATACTGGAGCTTTATAAACACAACCAGGGATTAAATTTAATGGCTTGACAAGCCTAGTGGAAGACAAACACCATCATATATGTCTATCTTGAACAGAGTCAGTCAATAAATAAACAAAAAATTTTCGGAACTTGTGATTATCTTTCTTGGTACTGCTGCTGCTAGAGGAGTATGATTCTTGTCAGCCGGAGCAATGTACCATGCCTAATGGATCTCTAAAGTCATATACCTCATGATCTGGATGTTCAAGACTTAGTTCAAAATGACACCCACAGAAGAGAGAGGATTATGTGATGCATGTGTGTTTGCAATGCGGATCTACCTGAAAGCTTGGATCTCTGCACCTCAAGCAGCAGGTGCTCTTTACAGTGACCTTCTGCTGCTTAAGTCACTACTTGAATACTCATCAATCCATTCAACTATCTCGAAGTCAACATTGTGCAAGTTTTCCAATCACTTGTGGTACTTGTCACAAGAACTTGTTAGCTTATCTTTCTTTGACAGTCAGGTCAGCTTGTCAACTAAAAGACTAATGGTGAGTGCCAAGCAGAACAAAGAAGATCAAGATAAGGATCATCCCGAGCAAAGCTCTTTATTCATTCAAGATTAAGAACTTGAAAATTTTGTTACAGCAAAGTCAATGACGCTGTTCTAAATGATGAAACTTCCAGACGGATTTCTCATGCTTTATCTAGACTGTATAAAGAGAGACACGATCCAGTCAAAGATAGCAAAAAAAGACTCTAAATGTTGTTAACCACGCAGAATGTGGAGTGCTACTGATTCAGAAATACAGTGGAATAATTACAGAAATACAGTGGATTAATTAATCCTAGATGAAATGCAGCTGCAATTCCTGCTGCAAGTTGTCAAGGATTATTGCAGATTGTAAGCTAATAGCAGGAAACAGGCTATATCCGGGTTGATGTCAACACAATAAATTTTGATTTTGCTGGTTTTCTTAGACTGATACTATGAACACTGTCAGAAATTGAACAAATTATTGTGTAAATAATTTGTTCAATTTAATTGTTCAAAAAGTAAATACATTGTTAAAAATAAATTAAAATATATATATATTTTGTTAATTTTTCATAATTTTTCCAACCTTTGAGGTAATTGCGATTATTATAAGAATTTATTATATATGTATTATAAGGAACTGATTAGGGGATAACGTAAAAAAATCAAAAAATATGAAAAAATGTTTTTTAAGCTCCACCTTAGTTATTAAGTTATTAAGTAAATATAAGTTATTTGTTTTGTTGATTTAATTTGCTGAAATGGTTCTTTTTAGTAAAATAGTATAAATTGTTTAATTTTTATTTTTTAGAGAGGTGGACCTGATTGTTGAGAGCTTTTGTTGACGAAATCTCGAAGATATTTCTTTAATTTTGTTTTTAAATAATAAATATCTTGAGTCTATTGTATTATTATTATAGCTAAAAAGATTTGAAACCATTTATTCCAGCTAGTCATTCAGACAGCAGTTAAAGAAAAGTCATTAGTTTAATAAAGATCTATTTGACCTCAAAGATAACAAGTTTTAAAGACATATTTCAAAGGTTTTGATTTGCTCTTTTTTCAAGCGAATAAATGCGCCACAAAAAAAGACGAAATTAGTCCGACTTTTTTGCGAATCAAAAAAATTTGCTAAGCGATAAAAAAAAATGTTTGGTGCATGCTAAGAAATTTTGAAAAAGATACTTTTCAGCCAACTGAATTCCAACAAGTTTCTTTTCTCGAAGTTGTTCGCGATTTGCCAAGCTTGTGGGATGTGAATCACCCCACCTACAAAGACACATGTGAAAATAAATGCATGGAAAAAACTTGCCTTGACATTTAATAATAAAAAAGGAGTTTCTACAGAAAAAATTAAAAAATCTGAAATATATATTAAAGAAATGTTAAGATTAGCGTAATTGTATGACGATCTAGAGCAGCAGCCTCAAACTTACCGAATTGTAAATTTTTTGTTCAAACAGCATTTTTGCATAAAAGAAGTGCGAACAAACTAACGGAATCTAATGTAAATATGCAACATCTTTAAAATAATTAGTTTTCTTGGAATCAACAACAACTTTTTTTTAATCAACATGTTTTCTAAAACAACGCTGAAAGATTTAACGCGATTTTTTTCTTTTATGTATTAACTGAATATTAACACTAGTTTTAGACCAATATTCAACCATTATATCTTTTACACAAAATATATGATTTTGATAGTCACGCTCTGAACAATAAATCCAAAAAATATTTATTTAAAGATTATTTAAACAATTATTTAATTTTTTTGTTTAATAGGTGTTTGTTGCAAATAGGTTACTTCAATTTTTTTATATTTTTATCTATGTTAAATATGTTGTTCCAAAGGACATGCAATAATTGACTTTTCCAACCAAGTTTTCAACGGTTTTGAAAACATTAGATATATGCTGGAAATTTTAGATTTATCAAAAGCATTTGATACTGCTAACCACAAAACTCTTCTTTGCAAACAAACACTGATTTAAAACTAAAGTGGTGTTATTTAGAAAGTCGTAAACAAAGAGTTGTATATGACTTAAAGTGCATGCGATTAGAATCAGTAAATTTCTGACATTCCCCAGCAAAGCCGTGGGAATGCCAATCAATTTTATCTGACTGGGGCTGGGTGGGGGAGCCTCTAGCCTACTCCACACACCCCAATCAGAAAAAGTTAGCGAATTTAAGGGGCATATTTACCAATTTAGGTGTCCTTTTGCAAATTTCGGGGCGCTAATGACAGGTCGCGATGGAAAAGGGAGGGAGAGGTCTCCAACCTACTAGCTACAGCATTGTTCCGTTTTTTTGTAATATATAGGATACTAAACCATAATTTGGAAAAACTTGTTACATCATCTATTTGGCATTGTCGACCTATCAAACTAGTTTTTGAGAAGGAATCTACAGATTTAATAACTGAAGAAGTCAATTATTTAAATTGACTTGCTTGTGTCTCAATTTAAATAATAATAAAAAATTTTAATATTCCAATATATAATAACTCAGATGGCTTAATTTTTTACTTTCGACGATGATAAATTTTATTTAACCAAATTTAATTATACAACCATTTTTAGATTTAAGTATATGTAATTAGTATATGGAATAAACTTGTTTGATTTAAAATGTTACTATTGTTAACTTTTATGCAAAAAACTCGCAACATTTTGCTTCACGGTAAGGAAGGAGGCGTGAACTTCCTGGTTAAATGCACTTCCGCAGTGCTCTGTGACAAGACCGCTAGGACTTCTTGGGGTACCTAAAAAACAATTTAAAAAAAAAAAATTGTTGAGATTCCTTTTTTTTTACATTGTTGAGATTCTTGAGTACTCTACTTTATGTCTTCTTGGATTACCATTCACTATTGACCTCTCACAGAAACTATATATGTACAATCAATTACAAAGTTAGCATTTGCTAAATTAATGAGTTTAAAAACAAATTGAAGCAAAAACTATTGATGAACGACGCAGCTCAGCTTTTTCTGAAGTATTAATGATTGCTACTAGTAAGTAATTAGAGGTTTGTCATTATCAGCTTGACGATCTTAGAAAGGATCGTGTCACTTGTTACTGATTCATTTCTTCTTTTATAAAAACTTATGATTTACAAAAATTCTCCAGATAATTTAAGGTATCTGCTGGTGTAAAAGGAAAACTTCAGGATTATGCGTATTTGCCTGCATGCTTTTTAATAATAGAGTTTTTATTATGCTAAACATTTTTTTTTATTATTATTTTTTCTTTAAATTTGTATTTAAATTTTTCATAACCAATACAAAACTAAAAAGTTAAAGTTAAAGAACATTAACAACTATTATTTTTATTTATAAAATCTTAAGAAAGTGTTTTGTATTATATTGTGTTACGTTTTTTTTTTTTTAATTTATTACGCTATTTTATATTTACGGTATAGATTAAGGGGCTTGGTGATAAGACAAATTATGTCTTCTTCTTGCCCCTGCTATTTATATATATGTTATGCTTTACGACTTGAATAAATTTATATGGTAAAAAAAAAAAAAAAAAAAAAAAATTTGTTTTACTTTATCGTGCTCGCCATTTTTTACTACTGATTTCATTCTCTACTTCTAAAAATCACTTATTTGTCCCTAAATTAAATACTTTTGTCATATTTCGGCTTGTTTATTTAATTATGCTCTTTCTTTTTTAGACAAAGTTCAAACACATATTGTTAATATTACACATATTGTTAATGTTAGTTTAACATATGTACCTTCTCTATAGGCCAAACTCGAGCCACTCTCCTATCGTTGTAAGGTTGCATTTTTCAAGAAGTTATCTTTGTAATAGTTTGTAATAATTTCCTTTTATTTTGGGACATTATGTTAAGTTTTTCATGATAAAGAACTAATTATGCGGTTTTTCCGGGATTACAGTTTTACGCGTAGACTTGTTCGTCAATTTTGCTTTCAAAATTAGACACTAGATAATCGGTAACGAGTCTCGGTTTATCGTCTGGTATCGATGCGATACCTTACAGTATCAATATTTAGATCACGCAATACTGGTATCGAAATTATTGGTTATTTTGGTGTCGTTTGGCATCGATACCAGTAGCATCCTTTGAAATCGCAGCTCGGGTCTTCATGAGAATTTTTATTTTATTTTCATAAACAATTAGTTATTTGAAATACTAAATCTATATGAGATGTAGAAGAGAGTGGGGGGAAGTGGTACAGTAAAAAATATTTCTAAAATTATTTTAACAACTTTTTTTATATAACTTTTATACTGTATCAAACAAGTTTTAATAAATAAAGCATCGTTTCGGGCACTGAATCCATCGTTAAAAATCGACAGCAGGTTACAATAAAATATAAACCTTACAATATGCTATTTTTATTTTTAGAGGAACTGTGCTACTGGGGTAAAGTGGGCAGCCATTAGGTGAAATGGGACAAGCGAGTAGTTAACAATATAATAACATAAATTATTAATTAAAAACTATTAAATTTGTAAACTACGTAATTCTCATCAAAATATTTACACAAACGTGATAGAGATAGGAGATTAATTTTCTTTGTCCCACTTCACCTTTCAAAAAATCTTATCATAAAGGTAGTTTTTACCACACGCAGAAGGACAGAGCGATGTTTGCTAAATAAATGCGGTAGTGCTGTAGTGGTAGAGCGCTCGCTTCATTAGCGAGAGGTTTCTAGTTCGATCCCCACCACGTCCCTGGTAGTACCGCGTTCAATTCGTTTCTTCGCGCAGTTCATGTTTCGGAATTATAGAGTTGAGAGAGGGTTATAACCATAAATAAGTAGCTTACTTGTCTGTAGTTGCCTTCTCAGCCTTGAAGAGGTAAATAAACAAAAAAAAAAAAAAAAGGGAAAAACCTCATTGTTTAGATTGGATAACATTGATTAGTGACCTCTTCTAATTGGAATTTAGAGATGCCCTTACTCTTATATCCCCTATTTAATTGAATCATATATTAAAATAGAAATTCTCAAGGATTGTGTTGAATCGTATCACATCATATTTATCATTTAATGTTTTAAATAGTATCACAACATTAATTTAGTTGTGTGGTATTGCTTCCGTAATTTAATTCCTTATCTGGTATCGATATTTTAATCAGTTGTGTGGTATTGCTTCCGTATTTTAATTTCTCATCTAGCATTGTTACTTTAAGGGATATAAACCCCCAAAAGTTTTCAACATATCAAAAATTTTTTTTAACTTTTCTATATATTTTAATGTATGGAGATTTCTAAAACCATAGTGGTTATATCTAAAAGTTTATCTAAGTTAAAAAAAATCAAAATTTTGATTTTTTTTAACTAGTTAAAATATTGATTTTTAATAGTTAATTTATTCCTTATAAGTAGTTACCTTGATAAATGGCTACTGTTGTAAAAAATTTCTAATAAAGTTAACAGAATAAAAGCTTTTTTGGCTTCTTGTTAGATTTAAAAACTATAAGATGAAATAAACAGCTTTAAATTCAGTTTTAGCTCGAAATTCTTTGCTAGATGTTGTTGTTTTTTTTTAGTTTTTATTCATGGTAAAAGTAGATAGAGTTAAAATCAATACACAACGAGCAGTAAAAAAAAAGAAAGATTTTTAATGTAAAGGTATCTCGTGGCAGTAAAGTTGTAAATATTGTAAATCTTCCCTCTTTAAGTGTTAATAATGTATCTTTTATTTAAAATGAAACCGACATCTCCAATACGTTAAGTTCTTCTTATCACAAAAGTAATGCTCTTTTTAACTCACCACCAGAACAGAATTTCAAAAACAAAGATGTGACTAGTTACACAATAATTGACTCTTTTGTCTGATGCTGTAAAGTGTTTTCTGCCAAAGGATCGTCCATAAATTAAGCATCGTCAATTAAGCATCGACCATAAATTTCACAATAAACAAAACAAAAAAAGATCAAAAGTTTTTCCTCGCAAAGTCTTAATTTAAA